ATTATGAACAACCTTGCTTGATTTACTATCGGAAAAAGTGTTGTTTGAAGAAACGTTATGTTAATGCCGAGCGGTTCCATATGGAACCAAGCTATAATTTTTCACATACAACGAAAAATAAATATATGAACATACTTTTTGCTTATTACCATCACAAATGATAATATTCTCACAAGGAACCGGAAAAAAATTCGTAAAATAATTCTCGTCATTAATGGGTTAATGACTTTGATCAGTATTTAGGAACAGGTTTGCTGATTACCGAAAAACGGTTTAGGTTCGAGCTGTTAATTCACTATTCTGTAACGGTTTTGATTATTATTTAGGAACAGTTTAGGACCATGGTTCAGATTCAATATTTAGTACTAATTTTGTTAATTATTCAGGCACGGTTCTGTAACACAGTTTATTTTTATTGTTTTGCATGCTCATTATTTCTTAACTATTTTTGGTTTTCGGTTCTAACTACATTTAGTAATTCTTCTACCTATTTCATATTAACGCGGTAAACTCGGTTTGTTACACAGTTTATTCTCATTGTTTTGCATGCTCGTTATTTCGTAACTATTTTTGGTTCTCTGTTTTAACTACATTTAGCAATTGTTTTACCTATTTCATATTAACGCGGTAAAGCCTGCGGTTATAATTTAATGTCATACAAACAGTACGAAAACCCAATAAAATATAATGGGAATACATGATCCAGTTATCAAGTTTATACGTCTTCCATCTCGTAAGTCCCAGCGACTTTAACAAAACAAAACAATTTTAACGTTAATAACTTAACACTTAGCATGTTATGTTATCATGTCATAATGTTATGGCTATCATGTTCGTGTCTTGCATGTTCTTCAATCATGTTTCATGATTGCGATACCTAGATAAAGATTTATAATCTCTTTGTTCACAAATTTTGCACATTTGTGGTTCACTCAACATGGAATCGTGGTATTCATCTTAAAAGCACACCAGATCTTAGCCGTCAAAATTCATAAAACCTTAGAATTTTTTATTTATTTAAACTTATAATCAAAATTTGTGTTATATATAGAGCCACCTGGTTGATGACCAGCACCCGGCAGCTGGTGGAGTCATACAACCTTAGAATTATTTTATTTATTTAAAATTATAATAAAAATTTATTATATATAGAGCCACCTGGTGGTGGATACAACCTTAGAATTTATTTATTTAAAATTATAATAAAAATTTGTTATATATAGAGCCACTTGGTTGTCGACCAGCACCCGACAGCTGGTGGAGGCGGCTAGGTGGCGCCCTTAGAATTATTTTATTTATTTAAATTTTTAATAAGAATTAGTTATATATAGAGCCACCTGGTTGATGACCAGCACCCGACAGCTGGTGCTAGCGGCCAGGTGGCGCAGGCCGCAGCCCAGCTCACAGATGGCACGCTGGCGGCTGGTCCAGCTGAGCTGGTCAGCACGGAACACAGCTGTCACTGAGTCAATGATGACCAGCTGTAGCTCTGTCTCTTATACACATCTAGATGTGTATAAGAGACAGNCTTAGCGTGTTATCTTATATCTTAGCGTGTTATCTTATATCTTAGCGTGTTATCTTATATCTTAGCGTGTTATCTTATATCTTAGCGTGTTATCTTATATCTTAGCGTGTTATCTTATATCTTAGCGTGTTATCTTATATCTTAGCGTGTTATCTTATATCTTAGCGTGTTATCTTATATCTTAGCGTGTTATCTTATATCTTAGCGTGTTATCTTATATCTTAGCGTGTTATCTTATATCTTAGCGTGTTATCTTATATCTTAGCGTGTTATCTTATATCTTAGCGTGTTATCTTATATCTTAGCGTGTTATCTTATATCTTAGCGTGTTATCTTATATCTTAGCGTGTTATCTTATATCTTAGCGTGTTATCTTATATCTTAGCGTGTTATCTTATATCTTAGCGTGTTATCTTATATCTTAGCGTGTTATCTTATATCTTAGCGTGTTATCTTATATCTTAGCGTGTTATCTTATATCTTAGCGTGTTATCTTATATCTTAGCGTGTTATCTTATATCTTAGCGTGTTATCTTATATCTTAGCGTGTTATCTTATATCTTAGCGTGTTATCTTATATCTTAGCGTGTTATCTTATATCTTAGCGTGTTATCTTATATCTTAGCGTGTTATCTTATACTTATATCTTAGCGTGTTATCTTATATCTCAGCGTGTTATCTTATATCTTAGCATGTTATCTTATATTTTAGTGTTATCTTATATCCTTGCGTGTTATCTTATATCTTAGTGTTATCTTATAGCTTAGCGTGTTATCTTATATCTTAGCGTGGTATCTAAGAACTATCTTATATCTTAGTGTAATCTTATATCTTAGCATGTTATCTTAGTACTATCTAATATCTTAGCGTGTTATCTTAGTACTATCTTATATCTTAGCGTGTTATCTAAGTACTATCTTATATCTTAGTGTAATCTTAGTGTTATCTTATAGCTTAGCATGTTATCTTAGTACTATCTTATATCTTAGCATATTATCTTAGTGCTATCTTATATCTTAGCATGTTATCTTAGTACTATCTTATATCTTAGCGTGTCCCCCACTCACAGCCCCTCCCCCCATTTCCACGTCCTCCCCAGTGCCCCTTCCATCCCCCCAGTGCTCCTCCCCTCCCCCCAGTGCCCCCCCCACTCACGTGGTCGGTCCCCCGTCATGGCGGCGTGGAGGGCGAGGGTGAGGGCGAGCTGAGTCTT